ATAACTTATTCGTCACTGTTTATTATGATGACACTGTTTATAGGTTTGAAAGTGTTCCCTTGGTCTAGCACTTCGCATCCAGTTCAATTGAGCTTCCTACTTCATTTCTAGATTCTGAGAATACCATTATATTCATCATTATATTCGTGGGTTCCGCATCAGTTTTCTACAAGATTTCCCTATATCATCTGAGTCACGTCTTATCGGTAGCATAAATCTGCGCCGGGAATAAGGGTGGGGTGGCGGACGAAATAAATAAAACATACCCGACAGTAGAAATTCGACGGGGAGGGATTGCTGAACACCACACGACACTAGGGGGCGCTTCAGTGATTTTTGTCTCCCTTGGCAGCGGGCCCACAACTGCATCCATTTTGGCTGTTCGGAAATTTGAAAAATCCCTCAATATTACTAGAAAACGTATGTGGGGCAGGGGGCGGTATAGCGATCCCCACACCCCTTACGTCCCTGCGCTTCATTCTTTTTCTCCCCCACAATTATGTACTTTTTCTCTTCAAATTCGAATGAATATTCCCGAAGAACTTGGCCTGAATTGGATTTTAAGCCCATGAAAAGTGCAGCAATCGGTCATAAGAGAACACAAAATATCCCTTGCTGTTTTGGGCATTACATTTCCATCACTTATCATCACTTAATTCAGGGACTGACTCTGTCTCTCAAGAATAGATTCGAATCCAGGCTAATATCCAGCTATACTGTACATGTACGTCCATATTACGTACGCTTAGCGTGTGTCCATATTATTACTGATTACCACGTGACTCTATGCAAGGCCAGGGGGTGCAATGCACAACGGCTGCAGTACAGAAATATTGTCATTATGCTGGTAAATTGTGTAATCAATGATTTCTGAATCCAAAGCTGACAAAGTTTGTTGCTATTATCAGCAGAGAGAAAGTACATGACAGATAATCGAGACGATGCTCCACGATAATGCGCTCAAAATGGTATTCTCGGTGAAAATTTTAGGTCTCCTGGATTTGCGGACGGTTCTCGTAGCATGCATCGTCTTCTTGGCTCTGTCGCGGCTGATCTGGAGATCCCGTAACCTTCCCCCGGGTCCCCGGGGATGACCGCTCGTCGGTAGCTTACCCAACCTGACCCTGGCGCCTGGGCATCCCCACGATGTCTTCCAGCGTATAGCCCAGAGGTTAGGGCCCGTTTTCCCTTTGAACATCCTGCGCCAAAGGCTCGTACTAGTGCACGACTATGGGGTCATGCAACAGGCGTTCCAGCACCCAAGCTTGAGTGACTAGACCAGAGCTGCACTCAGTGACACCAATGTTGAATGACTCCACAGGTAAGACGGACACACAGAAGGACAATTTATTTCCATTCCCCTGGACCATAGCATGCAGCAGACGCAGAAAACATAGATTGACCACAACAAGCACAACATAAACTGATTTGTCGGTCCACTGAAATGAATATTTGTGTAGATATTAAACGTCGGCGCCCAACAAGAAATTCGAGTGTGCAGAAGATGAATACTTAGATTTACTAGGCTGATATCTGGTGCTGGTTTCCAATGATTATCATNACATATTATCATACTGGTCAGTGTCAGTAGCACAGGTGCAATACGGAGACCACCGGTATGCATTGACGGTATTTGCACCTCATTAACCCCATCATCTCGGAACTCTTAATAATGTATCTATTATAAATGAGACCACCAAGGGGAGCAGTGTGTCGCCATCCCGTCGGATCGTTCGGCGTAACCAAAAATTTTTTCTAATTCTATGAGCTTCTGGGTTCTGTAACTAATTCAATGTACCTCACCTTACAAAATCTCTTCAGGAATTGCCGCTGCGTTTGGCCAAACTTGGAAAGAGCAGCGCAAACTAGCACTGAACGTCTTCAAGAACTTCGGTGTGGGCAAATTCAGCTTTCGAAGGTCAAAAAGCAACTGCAGGTGGGGCACACGATGAACGAGATGCACAATCTGGAAGGGAAAGCCTTCAACCCGGATAAGCTCTTCATGACAGCCGTGACATCCAACATCATCGCCGTCGTGGTGTTCAGGAAGCGGTTCGAGTACGATGACGCACAGTTCCAGCACATCCTGGCCTTCATTCACTGCAACTTTTAGCTCATCGGCGCCGGGGCGGCCATGCAGTTCCTTCCCATCACTTAGTAGCTGGGTTTCCTCCCGAGCATGCAAGAGATGCGGAAGAACATCCCACTGGTGGTCAACTTCACCAAAAACGTCATCGACAGGCACTTGAAGGAGTTTGACTTGGACGATAAGCGGGACTTCATGGACATGAACATCGGCGAAATAAAGGAGGAGATTGTTGACACGGTCCCGAGTTTGGACAACCTCAACCTTGTCAGCAACGGTATCCTTCGCTGGGGTCTGCTGTACATGGTCCTCCATTTTGACATCCAGGAGCGCGGGTCCAGCGAGAGATCGATGCAATGGGTTAAGGTAGCGTACCGGGCTAGGCTGGGTGGTCTGCCGCGTATCAACCTGCTGGTCGTCCGCTAGGAGGTGGGTTGACCCGGCCAGGTAGTGGCGAGTTGGTTATGAAAGACACATTGCAGGGCTGTGATGCATCGTAAATTACGATGAGTTAAAAAATTGTGAAATCGAGTGCAGGACACTCGATACTTGACACACTATCACCGACTGTCATGACTGCATTGCCTTTAAAGACTGGTAGAGCCGAAGGGGCCCATACACATCCCCGGGGCTAAGGCCTACTTGTAACAAACATTAGACTTTAACGAGAATGACAAATTTTGTGGCAAGTGACGACTGTTTAATGAGAATTCTGAAAGGATTATTGCACTGAAATTGTGTGTGAAAAATCTACATTTTGAATTTCAGAATGATTTTTCTCTGATCTACTGTCCTTCAAGCCACGTTTCAAACAAGTAGTTGACACTATATTTTTAACTGTAAAATTACTCCAAAGCTTCTCATCCGTGCTTTATCGATGAAGTCACATTTTTCCCCTCAAGGAATTTACGGCTTCTGCTGAAAAAAGAAATCACTTAAATAAGACCAAGATCTAAAACAAATAAAAAGCAAAATCAATGTCCTAAAGTCTCCCTGCGGACATTCATTCAAAAATTATGCATGGAGTCAGGCCATACCTATAACACAACGTTAAATATTAACGTCTTTCATGATTGAAAGTGAATTGAAACACCCCCCTATAAAAACACTTAAAGTAATTTATAGAAATAATGAAGGGGAAATTGTGCATCCAATTCAAAGACCCTGCAGCAGGGCAAGAAATCGTCCCTGTTATTGGTTTATAAAGTTCCTTCGTGGAAGATGTTATCATGATTACCTGCCCGGGGAGCGGCCACCAGATGGAGGCAAACTAACTCTACTGATGGGGGAGGGGGGGAGACAGCGATCTCCGAGTGGATCTCGCTGTCTCTCACCCCGAGCCTCGCCAGAAGCCATGCTCTTAATAGCTACTTATACTATGCCTTTCCGTCGCAGTGACAATATCCTCAGTGCTTTAGTGGCTCTCTTCGTGAGGGAATTCACTCTGAGTCCCCTCTCACCCCGAGGGACCCGGACAACCATCCACCTGCACCGCGCCCGGAAACAAAAGACGCCAACCGATACACCTGTTTTTATCACGTTCAGAAGATGGTGGGGATTGGCATTAATCTGGCACCGGATGGGTGCTGCTCGTCGCGTAGATTCACCCACGGGGCCCAGTCGGATACAGTTACAGGTCCCGTATCATTCAGGGCAGAGAGACGATGTCAACGCTGAATCTAATGCCCGAGAAACAACTTCCAATTTGTAAAGTGAAATTTACATGCTCACTGAATGAGGCCGTTATTGCATGTATATATTTTAAATTTTCTTTGTAATACATGTAGCGTCAACTGTGGTGCAGAGCTAGTAAAAATTAATAAACCAACCAGAAGTAATAAAATGGGAAACCATGGCAACATCAAATGACGAAAAATTTTTTTACCATTGCAGTTCAAGAGTAAATAGGGTTGGTTTCACTCAATAAAGAGACATTTGTCGGGTTATTTCTGAAACCCGCCGCATGCCCAAGGCAAGTGGTTATGTTAAATTCACACGCACTGCAGACATCTTAAGACAAAGGAACCCCACGCTTTCGTCTGAAATAGATGTTCCAGACTTTGAAGGCAATTTGAAATCTGAACTAATTAACAATTTAAGGGATTGAGCCGACTTTAGACCGCCATAGCACAACTTGGTATACCTTAAAGGTCGTTGTACTGATATGGAGGCTACATAATA